TGGAGTCTACATGCTTGCTGAAATTTTTATGCGAGATGACATGCTAGAAACTTGGAAACATGATCATGTTCCTTCTCATAATTATTTTTGTTCCCTTTGTCTTTGTAACCCCGTTCTCCTTTGTGTTGTGCAGGAACAGTTTCAAGCACAATCGACGCCGAGGACGACTTTTCGTCAAGAAGGGGAGGATGATGAGGACATGACACCCATGCATATGACCATGTTTGGCGCATGGTATGGAGGGGTACGAGGCCAGCAAGGGTGTCCAAGTCAAGAAGGAGGCCCGAGGTTAATTCGGTTCGAGTCCTCGAGGTGGAGGCCCAAAGCAACTCAAGTTCGAGTCTGCCTCGGCCTCCAGGACTAGTCTGCCTTAAACTGATCACCCAGGACGCATCCAGACTCCGTTTTCGACGATCCACATATGGATGAAAAGCTAATTTGATAAGGAAGCCAATATAAGTGGTCTCACGTCAAAAACTGTTAGGAATCAACAGGAATCATCGAAACAAGTCAGCGTCTAGAATCTGTCAGGGTGCTGCGACACCGTATTTGGTCTGTTGGACCATGTATCGTGTTTGGGCCCATTAGGGGGCGTGTCTAGGGGGTGATGCCCAAGACTCTATAATTAGCAGCCGTCGCTCTCCTTAGGGTTTGGATTTTGTTTAGTTCTTGATTTCCTCGTGAAACAGACATTGTTTTGCTGCAACTATCGCCGCCAAGGCCGCTTGCTGTGAACCAGGGCCCTAGTTCTTGATCTTGTTCACCTAGGGCGATTAGCCCTTTTGAATAAAGACTTGAACTCCGTATTGTTTTCAGAAGCCTCATATTTATTTGCATTTTCAGATTGCGTTGATCCCGTTCTTTCTTGTGTTCTCGATTCGCTTGCAGGAAAGCCTTCTCGGCGAGGTCAATCGTGTTCGCGTGATTGATAACCAACGGAGCAGTGGTGTAATGGTTGCGGGGGTCTGAATCAGTCTTGGTTCGAAGTTTAGATCGTGAACGTCGAGTCTCCACCAATTGACGCTATCATACCTTTCGGAAGATCGGGCCTAGTCTACATCAGGATTCCTACGACCAGTGAACGAAGCGAAAAGCCAAAGCAAGCGAAGGACAAAAGAGCGAATAGGCGCCTTCGATCGGGAGCTGAGTAAGGAAGGGAGTGCATGGCTCTCCCTCCCCCAAGGGGAGGCTTTATATAGCCACCTAGGGGTTGACACGCGCACCGAGAAACCATTGTGGCGGTTCACCTGGCCATCGCAATGGTTCAGCCACCGCAAAACAGTAATTGCAGCGCGCAAACCAAAAGTAAAACGGAATCAGTTAGCTGTCATCTCCTAAAAAAACTCAATCAAGTTAAATCAGTCCTCCACTCTTCATAAGGGATGGTGTCCAAGCCATATGGCAGAGTTGCTCGGCTGACGGCCATGACATTCGCGCGAAAGGGGAAAGCCGTTCGAGCGATGCCGAGGGGCTAATGTTGGGAGCGCACCAAGCCTTTGGGCAACCCCACGGGGCTCGTGCAATCACTGCCCCATGTGCGACCACGGTTTTGCTAGAGCAAAATGACTCCTAATGCACAGAGATGAAGGCAGAGCCCAGAGCGTGACTCACGTATCGCCTATCATTTCGCCAAGGCAAAAAGGCGGCCTAATGATTACATGGGGGCCTGTTGCCTTTTCGCCAAGGCAAAGAGGCTAGACCCATGTGCTATGGGGATTGTGGTCTTTTTGCCTAGGCGAAAAGACGACACTGAATCGAGCAGAGACTATCGTCATTTTGCCAAGGCGAGATGTTGGTCGCGCATTTTGGGTCCAAGCGGTCTAGGCGCGCCTCGCGAGCGAATCGGTAGGAATGGTAGTCATCCGGGCCATTTCGCTAAGTCAAATACTTGGTGCTTGTCTGTGTATCTGACCATGCAGGTGTTTGCCCGGAGGAGAGCTTACCAAGGGACTGGGTGCCGACAACCCCGATCCACCGGGGACCACTCGGTCGGCAAAAGGGCGACACGGCACAGGGACCAGAGGGTCAGCGCTACCTGAGATGGGCGATACCTCCGAAAAGGCAAACAAGTCCTGGGCGGACGAGAATATTATTCGATTATGTGGTAGGTAGAAGGGTAGTTCCATCCATAAAAAGCCTACGGGTGTGTATAAATAGCCCTTGAGGCAGAAATTGTAAGAGAGAAGACCATTTTACTATGTATACATTTGCCGCATTTCCACCACCTTGTATTCGCTTCGGTGTCAGGTTTGCTTGATCTGCTTGCGCTGTGACCTGGTGTTCGAAAGGCTAAGGCCTAGAACAACATATATCATGTTTTTGGCAAATATAACAACAAAGGACAACATATGATATATCGAGTTTACATTTGTACAAATCTGAATTCTCCTTTGATTGTGCAAAATTATGATCAATTAGAGGACTATACAATCAATAATGTTGTCATGCCATATTCTTCTAGTCTTGCTTTACGGACACAAGTTAAATCCAAAGAACGAGAACATATGTTTCTTGCTAGTACTAATCTTTTGCAGGATGATATTGACAAAGATCGTGTGCATTTCAATCGAGGAGACTACATGTTTGTAGGAAAAGACATGCTGCAAATTTGGACATTTGGTCATATTCTTTCTCACAACATTGTCCATTCCTATTATTTTGACAATCTTATTTGTTCTCATGTTGTGCAGGATCGACTTCAAGCAAAATCGACGCCGAGGCTTTTCGTCAAGAAAGGGTCCTTGATGTAGACACGGCCCGATCTTCCGATAGGTATGATAGCGTCGATTGGTGGAGACTCGACATTCACGATGTAGGCTTAGAACCAAGACTGATTCGGACCCCCACAACCGTTACACAACTGCTCCGTTGGTTATCAACCACGCGAACGCGATTGACCTCGCCAAAAGGGCTTTCCTGCAAGCGAATCGAGGACACAAGTAAGAACAGATAAACGTAATCTGAAATTACAAATAAATATGAGGCTTATGAATATGAAGAGGAGTTCTAGTCTTTATTCGAAAGGACTAATCGCCACAGGTGAACAAGATCAAGAATAGGGGCCCTGGTTTAACAGCAAACGATCTTGGCGATACAGTTGCAGCAAACATTGTCTGTTTCACGTGCAAAACAAGAACGCAACAAAACCCCAATCCCTAATGAGAGCGGCGGAGGCTAATTATAGTCTTGGGTGTCACCCCTCCTGGACGCGCCCCCTAACGGGCTCTACGACGATACACGACCCAACATACCAAAAGACGGTGTTACAGCATCCTGACAGATTCTGAACGTTGACTTGTTTTGATGATTCTTGTTGACTCTAGACGATTTTTGACGTGAAACCAAAGTCATTGGTTAGCTTATCAAATTATCTTTCCATCCATATGTGGATCATTGAAAACGGAGTCCGTATACGCCCTGGACGTTGATTTTACTCGGGACTGCTCCTGTAATCCGAGATGGACTCGAATTTGATTTGGGCCTCCACCTTGGTGACTCGAACCGGATGAGCTTCGGGCCTCCTTCTCGGTTAGGACACCCTTGTTGATCTCATCGGCCTCTACCTCCAAGCATGGTCATATGCATCGTGGTCATGTCCTCATCAGGGGGCGCAGGCGCAGGTGTAGGCATAGGCCTCCCCAGGCGCAGGCACAGGTCTCCCCTGCCTCCCCTTCCGCGACGGGCGAGGTGGATGGGACGCGTCGCGGGCGCACGAAGCAGCGCAAGGAGATGCCTGGTGCATCGTTTTGCCTATGTGATTTGAGGTTCACACATATCACTTATGTTTGGGAGTTGGCTACGGGGTTTGGGAATGTTTTAAAACCTCTGGTTCTGATTGGGACAGCAGTTACTTGTTGTCACTTTGGTTATGCATAAATAATTTGGTTTTTAGAGACAAAAAAAACAATCTTCTCTTTTGCGGATTTTATATATTGTTGGTTATACACTAGCTCCGTTCAGAAGTTTACTCACAGGATTTAGTTACAGTGGCATAGCAACGGTTGGTGAAGGTAGCAAGGTATTTTCTTCCTTGACATGTCACGATCTACTCTTAGGGCCAATTGTCATTAAAAGTCATGTTCCTTTTTCTTTTTCTAGGCTGTTTTTGCTTTTGCAGAGACCAAAATAGGTTCAAGATGGCCCTGTTCGTTTATCTTATAATCTATACTTTTTAGCTTATTTTTTTCAGTCGGAATCGTGTTTTTCTCTCATAACAAATCAGTCAGAACAGTGTTTCAGCTTGTTTTTTCAGCGAAGCGAACGGAGCCATTGTATTGTATCAATTAATTCGATAAAATCATGTTGAATTAATAAAAAATCACTTTATTCAAAAAAAAAGGGAGACCAATGGTGTCTATATGCGTCCCTTGGCAGATATACTGCTCTCGGTGATGCCCAGCACGGCGCACGATGGCGAATCCAACGCCATTAGCTATTGCAAGTCCAGATTTTTTTTTCGAGTTATTAGTTCGCCCGAAAAAAGATCTGCCGGGTGGCCGGGTATCAGCTAACCACAACTGAATGTGCAGTGAAGGGAGCTGCAAGACGTCGGAGGACGGCGAAGCCTGTGGCCATCCAGTTATCGGTCTGTCGACCCAGAAGCACGAGACTGCTAGCATTCAGGGATAACTACCATAGCGACGCGAATGGACAGCCATCATACTCTAGCAGAACCTAGTTCAGCCCTAATACAAGTTGCAACTGCATTAGACTCGTAAGGATAAAAGCACGGTGGTAACACAATGTATATTACAACCTAACAGGATTGAGATTCAGGAAGCAAACGGGTTATTGGCAGCTTGAGCCATCGGAATCTACTGCAAGCGACTTCGGTGCATTAAACATTACAGTGTTCCTGCTAGAATTCCACATTACTGGCAAGTCTAGTACCACCTAATAAGATAACATTACATTTACTCGGGATGTCCTAAAGATACCCAACAACTAGGACCTCTGTCCAGCAGAACGATTGCCTCATGTGGGGTCTGATGCAGCACAAGCTAAGATAACCTCTGTTTCTTCTTAGCAAGATTCTCGAAAACAAAGCGTATATCTTCAGATGTTATTGGTTTTGATGTATCGCGGGACTCCTGCTCAAAGTATCAGACAAAGCAAAAACACCAATGAGATAACTGAATAAAATCAGATGCCAACATATAACATGTTATAAAACATAGAAACATGGAAGCAAATGCACGACAAAATGAAATGGTATTCCTCTTTTCTGAATTGAAAAAACACGGACAGGATGAAATGCACAAGACAAATATATTGTTAAATTGAAAAGTAAATTCAGCAAACAAAATCAAGCTGCATACAGTCTAACACACTAGGAAAACATGAAAACAGAATTGAAGGCCACAAGCAACCCACGCTGTCTTGGACCTCACTTATCTAATGCTGACCAACAGGAAAATGCATCATTTCCAACACATTTCACACATGAACAATTACCCAATAACCACAGCAGGGCAACCTAGCTTCGTAATCATTAATTATCCATAACGTTAGCAGGTGCAGACTAACCCAGTACATGATGCAAAGCATGAGTTACACAAATTAGGTCTTATGTTCAAGGCAGGTGTTGTCACATTGCACAGACTGCTTGCCAGGTGTTTGGAGTACCTCTTTGAGTAGGGTTTTAAAACATGCAGGTTCACTTTTTTGAATGGTTGTCATGTGTTTTAAGAAAGAAATATCAGGTAACAATTTTCTCAAATCTCGTACAGTTGTCAAAACATGTTTACTTCTTCGTATGATTGTCCTGTGTTTTAGCAAGAAGCATTAAGTAACAATTTTCTCCAATCTCATCCAACTACCAAAACGTTTTTCACCTACTCGTCAATCAAATAAGAGAAGATTGTTACCAGAAAGGACTGAAACTCATTCTTCATGTCATTGATGCCACTCAACATCTCTATCTTCTGAACATGATTAAGTGAATTCAGAAAATTTGTCGCAGCTCCTTGCTGCTGCTCCAGTTTCTTCTCCCTCTTCTGCTTGGCAATCTTCTCATATTCCTCAATAGAATCCTCCTTGTCAATAAGATATGCAATACCTCGTTGTGCATAGAAGTTGCTGCATGTTTCACACCTGCATAGTGCCTCCCTCCAACCTTTAGACATGAAAAAAGGCTCACTTTTATCTGTAACAGCTGGCATTGTATTTACATCCATTCCTAGCTTGCAGTTGCTGCCAGAACTGTTACCCAAATTGTCCTCCTCAGGAACTGCGATAGCTTTTGTAGAATCATTTCCAATGGAGGTCTTTTCGCCAACCGTATGATCAACAAGAGCACCATTTTCATGTTTCTCAGTGTTAGCATGACCTGAAGGTTTTTCCATCACATTTGGATCACTTCCATCAGTTTGCACTGCCAGATTCTGCTTACCAGAAGCCCAAATTGTATCTGGATACAATTTCAAGAAATGGCAAACATGTGAACATTTGTGGCATAGAAATTCCTCATAGAGTGGCTCCCCTTCCTCATCTCTTGGTATCTGCAACACAAGTCATTAAGCACACTAACATTTTGTATGTGCTAGGAAACTGAACAGAAGATGCTACATTTTATCCTGAGGACTCTATTCAAGAAAGATATGTGACTCTCCTGCATGTTAAAAAAACATTTTATCCTATGGACATCTAAAAAGGCCTCAACTGACCAAACAAAAGGATATGATAAAGATGCAAGCAACTTGCAGTTGCGGCCTGATAAAGCATAGAAGTAATTCTATTAACGAAATGATGTACAGCTCTCATGAGTGTTGCAGAAAGAAAAAAAATGAAGTATAAAATAAAATTGAGTTAATGTGTCAACTTAGTAGTGCTGATCAGTAAGAGATTCTTAGTCAGCGTAATTACTGTAACTTTCCAATTTTGTACATTGTTAAATCAATGTATAAGCTGAGCAACGCTGATCAGTAAGAGATTCTTAGTCCCAATAGCATAAGTATTGAAAGAGCAATTTTCTAATTTTACGGACGCTCTGATAAGGTATAGTAAGTTAAACATTGTTGAATCAACGTATAAGCTTAGTTAGTAGTTTGACTAATCATTAAGGCACTGTTTGGTTCCCAAAAATTGAGAGGAATTGGAAAGTAATCTAATAATGAAATGAGAAGCGCTTTCTAGATATTTGTTTCAATTCATGGGATCCAAACAAGCTCTAAGAGATTCTTGGTCCCAAATAGCATAAATATTCACGAGCAATTGCCTTTTTGAGAAAGACAAGGTAAAAGCTTACAACCAAAACCTCTAGCTAAGCAATGCATTTGCTTCTAGTTTCAAGCAAGAGGACAGAGTAATAATGGACTACAACAATAGTACATTGCATCACAATGATGTAATTCCTTAAGTCTAAGGTTAATAAACAATCTAGAAGAAGAAAAGTATCGGCATAAGAAGAAATATATGAATACTACTGGCATTGGTATCAGTATTGCAAAAGGACAGTAATAATGGACTACAACAATAGTACCTTGCACCAGAGTAATGTAATTCCTTAGGTCTAAGGCCAGAATAAAAATCTAGAAGAAATGACATGAGCATAAGAAAAAATTATGAACACTACTAGCAAGTAGCAAGATATCAGTATTGCAGATACAGGTGATGCAACCAGGCAAACACACACGAATCAGAACATGAAAAGCACTTAACACATGATCCCATTTAAGAAGGTACTGGAAAGTAGAATACCTCTTCAATAGAGTTAAGACCAATATGATCCCCATGAAACCAGTCCTCACATATACTGCATTGTATCATTTCAACTTGCTCCTTAGCTTCTGGGTCAGGATAAGGCCACCCACATGTGCAATAGGAACCTTTGAAGTTATGGTTATAAGCATTTGCTGAATTCTCAGAATCTTTCTCAGGGCAAAGTTTGCAAAGGTGACCTCCAAACTTTGAGTTGCCACAATCACAACGAAACTTCCGCTTTGTCCAAAGTTCAACAACCTTAAAAGAAAAGAAAAAGGAAAGTCAAGTATCAGCAGTGTGCAAGCACAAACAAAAAACAATAAAATAGAGTAACAAAAAACAATAAAGGATGGAATATACCCAAAGACTTAGCCTTAGATAGGAATGCTTGGAAGACAGCTATTCACGTGCCTGAACCTTGATTGTTTCTGTTGGGTTTCAACTCTAGCCTACCCCAACTTGTTTGGGACTTAAAGGCTTTGTTGTTGTAGAGTAGCAAAGAGTACATATGATAATGCATTTTAGATATTCTTTTGATGTAAATGAGTCAGCTAATCTGAATAGAATAAAATGCTAAAACAAAATTGAAACAAATAGTGACAACTGACAAACGATCACATGAATTACATCCACCAAGCAATTGCGTCACTTTGCCACAGATGTCAGAGCATGCTAACAAACTTTAGACAGTCAGATGCAAACTCCAGATATACTACACTATCTGCCACATGCCAGATCACTAAGGAGCGTTATGACCCTGCAACCATCCTTCATAGTATGGTGTATAAAGCTATAGAACGAATTGTCTAAAGCACGCATATATAAAAACACAATTTCCCTCCTTAGATAAAGACAATTGCATTATGGGTGCCAAAACTCGCAGGGTAGGTGCAATCTTATAACAGAACTTGAAAATGGTGCAAAACAGTCACTAATATTGTTTCTTTGGTCTGGTGAAATTAGGTCATTAATACACCAGTTCAAGCCAATCAAGTCCATATGGTGCTGACCAGGCATCCAGCATTGCAGTGAAAGGCATGGACTGCATGTAGGTCTGCATGTGAGTTTCTTGTGCTCGTTACTGCTAAACAAAGAGCTTTCATTCCATTCATCATTAAGCAGTTGGTGAAGGGACAGGCAAAGAAAGCACCCATCGATGAAAAAGTAAGTGTAACTAGAGGGCTTCACAGCAGGCTGGAACAAGAAACTAGAACCACAGGGGTTGACAACAATGGGTAGGATAGGGCTGCCAGCCGAGAATGCTGCAGTGTTGCTGCATGATACTGATGTTACTTATAAGCCCCTTATAGCAGGTATATTAGATGAAATGATCAAATGGCCTCACTAACATGTACATTTAGTTCAACATACAAGTTTACATACTTAAACCAGTTCTATGTTACTCACCATATTGATGTGGTGTTTCTTTAATCAGTAAGAAAGAGGCATGGCCTCATCCTGGTAAATGTATTGTTAGATGTAGATTCTTGAGCCTTAGAGTTTAAACAGCCCAAACTGCAACTGATGCATAGTTTCTTATACAACACATAATGCCTCTTCAATTTTGCTGAATGTAGGAAAAAAACTGAGGGATGGATGTGCCCTGGCCTCTAATGGCCTGTCTACCCTGTAACCACTTGTTTCACTAACCATACTTGTTCTCTTGTACAATGCACCCTCCATTTCAGTACGTTTGTCTCAATAGAAAAATGCTTCACCGTGTTTGTCCACTAAGGATATCAACGCTCTAGTTATTGCAATATTTCCACTACCTACCCTAATTAAATGCTCCGATGGAAGGGAAATAGTTGCATTGTGATTTCATATTGGTTTTTTATTGGAATTAGTACTTTCTTGGTCTGTGTGGTGTGCGCAGTGTGTGATGCAGATAAATACAGTGAAACAGAAGCTGTATCCAAAACACAGCTTGCATCCTTATTTTCACTGCAATGGCAGCCTTCTTGTCCCTGTCAGCCATGCATGTTCTCAGACTAGCAAACAAAGGATAAAACAAATTAAAGGGATCATTCTGTTCGAATGTAAAAGGCTTTGTTGTTGTTGTATTCTGTTCGAATGTAATTAGCATGCAACTTGCAAGGGTGTTTTACAATGAAAATCATGGGACCAACACCTCCGACAACATGCCACCAACCATGTTAACAATGCAGTCAGCACCTTGTGTATGTGATTGCTCAAGCCGATGCAACGATGACCTAACTTCATCCCCATAACGAGATTAGTGACAAGTTCACACCGTTTTCAAGTTATGTGACAAGATTGCACCCACCACACAAGTTTTGGTACCCACGGTGCAATTTATTCTTAAATACATCTACTAGTTATGTAAAGTGCCATTATTAGAACTAAAAAGTAGGTGAAAGGGCCTCTAGCTGAGTTGGTTAGATGACTTGAGTAGCACTCCTCAAGTCCTTGAGTTCGACTCCCTATGGGAGCAAATTTCAGGCTGGGGTCAAAAGAATCCCCTCGTATGTCCCGCCAAAGCACAGGTCTAAGGCCTGGCCCCGGTCGTGGTTGTTCTCACATGGGCTACGGTGCAGCTGTATATGGGAGGGGCAAGGGTTTGGGGGTTTTCTCAACCTGCGTGAGAAGGTCATTGTCGACAGAATATCGTCGGCAGTCCTCCGAGGGTATCCCACGAAGGTAGATTGATCGGCAGAGGCGTGTAATCAAGAACAAGAAGACAACAGAGGCACACGAGTTAGACAGGTTCAGGCCGTCACTACGACGTAATACCCTACTCCTGTGGTCTGTTGGTTTGTATTGGCTATCATATGATATTGTGTGAGTTTGGAGGGAGTCCCTGCCCGCCTTATATAGTCTGGGGGGCAGGGTTACAAGTCGGTTAGATCTGAGAGATAATCAGAAAGTAATAACAGATTACAGAAATCATGGAATAATACTTATCCTAACAGATCTCGTAGTATCTTCATGATATCTTCCCAGTGTCTTGCGGGAAATGCCGAGCAGCGCCGTGCCCTACATGGCTTCGTCTTGTGGGCTGGGCCGCCCCTGAGGGCACATCCCATGTGGTCTGCCGTGGGTATCCGGGGTCGTACCCCCCACAGCTAGTCCCCGAGCGCCTTATACCCGTTGTGCAACGTCGTCTTGAGCTTGTCCGAGCAGGTGCGAACAAAGCCGAGCAGTCAAACTCATGGTCCAACCACCGTGATGAGTTACCGAGCAGTTGCCGAGCAGCGTGAACCGTCGCCGAGCAGTGTAACACAAGTACGGCTTGCCATAAGGGTGTAAGGAGCTCAAGTTCAGAAATAAAAATTTCTTCGCAATGGACCAAGTGTGCCCACTTAGAGTCCGACCACGAGAAAAGGAGATAGTCTTCTTCAGCTTCAAGAGGCGCGGAGTCTTCCAGAATTAAGCAAACACATTCACCGCGAGGTGAAGTGTGCCCACTTAGTCCCCGAGCCTGACAGTAGATGATGTAGTCATGTGGTGTCAGGGTCCGAAGTAGAAGAATAGTAGAAGACCAGCCGAGCAGGCAGGCAGTCCCCGGGCGTAGCCCCGAAATAAGAAAAAAGCGCATTCACCGCAAGGTGAAGTGTGCCCACTTAGTCCCTGAGCCTGACTGCAGGTGACGTGGTCACGTGGTACCAGGGTCAGAAACAGCAGTCAACTGAAGAAAAATCCCAAATGCGGTGAGGAACCGAGACGTAATGCTGACGCAGTCCCCGAGCCACAAGAGGAAATCATGGAGAAATCAAAATCGCGGAGAAAATACCAGAGTAATGGTTGTACAGTAGTAATTACTGAGCCATAACGGTTGGCGGAGAAGTCAGCGAATATTCGGCGAGCCGTAACAAATTGCGGAGATATAGCGGCGATACAGGCCGCGGTTACGCGAAGGCCCAGATAACGACTCACCTTACTATTGCGGAGACTTCGGAGAAGCGCAAATCGCGGGAACGGTTTCCCAAAAACCCTCGAATGCGAAAAGGTGGAGGGAGTGCTTTATAACTGCGCCACCGCACCCCACGCTCCCACCTTTGCCACTTTGTCATTTCATCTTCCTCCTCAACCCTCGCATTTCCAGATTCACATCTACACTTGCTTCCGCCGCCAAACCCTAGCCAGATCTGAGAGATGGCACCGAAGCAGGAAGTTGCGAAACCGAAAAAGACGAGCCCCAAGAAGGCCAATGCCAAAACCCGGCGTAACAAAGAGTGGGTGCCGTCGCGAATGGGAGAGGCGGAGCTCAACAGATTGGTGGAGGCGGACGTTCTTCCTGACCGCGCTACCGCCGGATGACGGACGACCCTCGGTGAGCCCTTCCCAATGCCTCATACTAATGAAGTAGTGGTATTTGAGGATTATTTCTGGCGTGGGTTGGGATTTCCTATTCATCCATTCCTAAGGGATCTGTCAGAGTTCTGAGTGGTTAGTCTGTGCAATCTCCACCCAAATACCATTTTGCACATCTCGATCTTCATCCATTTCTGTGAGGCGTATCTCGGAATCCTTCTCCACTTCAACCTCTCCCGTCACCTGTTCTGGCTGAAGAAGAGAGGCGGCGGTGGTTCCAAGGTGGTCGGCGGAGTGTACCTTCAGCTGCGCGATGGAATGGCGGGCGAGTACCTTACTGTGCCGCTGAACACGTCGCTAAAGGGGTGGAACACCAGGTGGTTCTACATGAAGCAGAGCCACCCTACCATCCGCTGCGACGCCGACTACATCCCGGAGAGCCAGAAGAGCTGGTCGGAGATGCCAAGCAGCGCTGATATGGAGCAAGTGAGGGAGCTCCTTGGCTTAATAAAGGGACGGAGATGCTGTCGAGGGACGTAGTGCAAGAGCAGGCTGCAGAGCTGTTCGCTCCATTTGCCTCGTTCAACTTGTCAGGGCAGACAAGACCCTTTCACTGCAAAAACCTGCCTCCTCAGGTAAATATCTCAATTGTGTGTTCCTGATGCTTTTTATCTTCTGTCGTTGCCGAGCAGTGGACTAATTCACTTATGCGAAGATCCATTCGCAGCAAAGAGCGGTGTACTTCTCGGGCGTGCCAAGGGGCGATTGGCGGCAGGCGGTAGATGTCCGACCACCGACGCAGCCTGAGGAGGAAACCGTCAGCATCTCGTCGGAGAGTCCATCCCCGGTGTCGGAGAAAATCTGGGGGAAGAGGACAGCGGCAGACGAGCCGGCCCAAAAGAAGAGAAAGACGGCGGGTGCCGCTCCCCTCAAGCCGGGCGGCATCTCGCTTGGCGGTGACCAGACTACTCGGACGCGGAGGA